TTTCAACGGGAAAACGTTGGGAATTTCAATACGAAAATTTAGCGGTCACCCTTATAGCAAAACAATGATTGTCGAACTGTAAAATAATATTTTTAAACTTTGCTCAAGGGTCGCTGGCGTAGTTCCCTTACAAATTTAAAAATAATGCTTCTTGAGGATTGTGAACTGTGAAAAACGCTAATCACCTTAATCCATTTTTCATATTATTTTCCTGGAAGATTTTACCTTTATGAAATCAATGACAAAGTATTATGGGCCAGCTAGTCACTTTTATGGATCAGTTAGTTCTGCGTGTTAATCAAATGGAATACTGGGGTGACTTAACTCCAAATTTAGAAGTTTATAGCTAATTTTCTAATTTAAGATGCATCCTCAAATCTCCAAACAAACTACTGTTAAATTTTCATGGTCAATTGATAGGTGAATTTTACATTGGTAAATTAAATTGGTACCACTAATTAAGTTCTCAATCCATTAGAAGTTCAAAGTAGTAACATTTCGCAGTGCCAACTGTGGCAAATTTTAGATCTAACAAGCATGTTCAATAGACGGTGTCAACTCTTCAGGAGACGCATTTTATTGAAAGCTTATTTTTCAGGTTCACGTCCTAAAGAAAAGTTCAGGAATTCGCTCGTTTTCTACCACTACATCCTTTGGCTAGAACCACTTATACCCATTACCAGGCGCTAATGGCCATTTAGGCACCATCCATCGGGTGTGCTAAGCCGATAGCAATTTGCCACATATTGCCTTCGCCATCTAATTGAATTCACGCAACAATTTAAGCCATCACCAACAATTGCTTTCACACTTAATCGTATTACTGAGCAAACTTTCCCTAAGCTGTATCCCACCTTCACCAGGTTCTTCCTCCACAACTGCTGTTCTCGCATCCTTCGTCCTTCGTCACTAGAACCGGCAAAAGCTGCTCCAATTCCTTATGCTGTTTTTTTTTTATTCGTTGCGGGAATGGCAGGGACAAAAACCAGCATAAAGGGCTTTATTTCTGAAGAGCCACTTTCCTATTTTTAGCGCACATTTCCTTCTTTCGCTAGCCTGGTGCACTTTCCCCTTCACCGAGCAAGCAGAATCACATTATTACCTCTCTCTCCGGGGAGATGAGTTTCCTTCTCGCATTGCTCGTTTCGCCCGTCAATAACAATGGATGTTGCCGCTGCGGGGTCGTGAATCGTTCCGAATCCGGTGCAAGGCAAGGCAAGTAACAATACCTACCCAGATAAGTACCTACAAGCTCCGGGAGGCTGCGGAACGTGTGTACACGATTGCTGTATTATGCTGCTTGCAGCAGCAGAGTTGAAAATCGGTCTCCACTGAGCAGAGCCCGAACGATGGAGTCGCACGGTTGTCAGTTTAGTGTCCCTTGGCGCTATCACAGTCTAATTACCATGGGAAATAACAACCCACCGTAAGGTAAATATGCCAACCGTTGTGTAACACTCACAAACACCGATGGTGGTCATTCGAAGCCAGAAGAAACCCACCGGGTGGCACGGGGGACGGCCCAATGAAATGACCATTCCGGATGCAGACAGACACCTCGAGACAGAGAGATAACATTCTTCCACACGACGGCAGATAAATGACAGCTAAACACACATTCTGAACGGACGAGGACAAGCTCGTGGTGGGTGCACTGACGTCTCTGTTTGCAATATGTGTTCCTGGGGACATACCGAGTGAGAGTGTCACAAAGTGGCGGCGGCCGGTGCTGGTTGCTGTTGGTTCCACACATTTTTCTCCATTTGGGGTGGCAGATCCATCACCGAAATGGGGTCATATGTACAGCTACAACACAGACACCCGTGACATGCCCAGAATGTGCTCTTTCCGTCCTTTCGTGTGTGAGAGTAGGTTGGACGCGCCTTGTGGAAGCATGTGAAAAGAAAGCGGTGCTGTGGATTGTATTGTTCTTTGTTGAGGCTTATCTGAATACACGCAGAAGGAGCCAAACGAGGAACCCCAGTGAAGACAATAACGACGTTTGAAGGTAACTTGGGTTTGGCGAACAATGTATTGTCCTCGATTTGCACATCCAATTTCTAATGGGTGGATGTCGACACTCAACTGAATGCGCTTAATGTTTATGGGCAGTTCACTTTGAATCAAAACATTTACATGTTTAGCGATAAGCTCATCAACGTTTGCTGCGCTTGCGAAAAATAAAGGTTTCTAATTTATTGAAGGGGAATTTTATACACAAAAGACCAGTGCACACTGGGCCAGGAAGGTAATCTAGCGGAGTAAAATTAATAACTCCGAAACGAAGCGCTTTCGTGATTTCGGCAAAGTTTCTCATCATACTAAGAACCATCTATTGACATAAACAAATAGCTCACAACTCTTCCGCAAATATGGCACCGCAATCTTACTTTTTTCTGTGACGTGCCTCTCATACAAGAAACCTTATTTAAGAAAACTATTTTTCTAGGAAACGTCGTGAACCCAACCTTTGCTACTTTTAGCAAACGTGGAATGTCAAACTCCTCGAGCATGTGTGCGTGTCAATAACGCAATCGTCAATAACGCTACGCAGAATCAGAGATGTTTGTGTTGTTACAATTGATGTAACCTGTGGAAACCTAAATAGGTAAGACGTTAGTATTGTTCGAAGTTATTCTGTACGTGCAATTTTTTTAAAATATGGTATTGAACTTTACAAAGTGATCCTAAGCTTTTCTCAAGTTATTCAAACTTTGCTAATGTATTGTAATGTCAGTATAGACAGATCTCGTTTTTGGAAACGTAACTACAGTGCACTCTCTACAACTCGAGTTATAGAATTATCAAGTTACAGAATAACAATTTCATACAAATTAGCTATCGCAGTAGCCATGACACTCATTTTTAATATGGTTATATAACTCGAATATCGAGTTGTGGCGAGTTGACTGTACTTCATCTATCAAGATCTTTTTCGATGTGTCACAATTGAGTGGCTTAGCGATAATAATCAATACTCCCTTAAGTGAATCCTGTTGAAAAACTATTGAAAAATTCGTGAAAGTGAGGAGGATCTCTCGGTTGTTGACGGTATAATTGACCTACATTTGGAAGCGCCCAGCGCTGTTATTGCCTATCGTAAAGTATGAGATCACCAGTTCTTACACATTGCAGATGCATGCTAGTCCAATGCATCGTTTGTTACTTCTCTGTCAGGTGATCTGGTAATAACGGAGCAGCAACCGGTTAATCATTCTCATGCTCAATTATATCTGTACTTCCTGAAGTTTTTCTGTAGTATTTCAGTACTTTTAAAACTGATTCCGAGATTATCAGTTTCAAAGTTCGAAGTGTTTCAGTACTTTCAGAAGAGATTCTTAACTTTTTTAAATGATTATGTGCTGCCCAAAGTGATTCTGATTTTTCTGAAGTGATTTAATATTTTCTGAAGGGATTAAGTTATTACCAAGTGATTCAGCTCTTGAAGAAGTGACTTGAGATAATTGATACAGTACTTTCCGAAGTTTTGTGAAGTTGTTCAGTTCTTTCCGGATTTTTTTAGTTTTTACGGAAGCGATTAGAAACTTTCTGGAAAGATTAAGTCTTTTCCGAAAGGATTCAGAGATTTTCTTAAGCAAGTCAATACTATCCGAGGAATTTCAAAGCTTTTCTTACTTTCAGAATTGGTGAAAATCATTCAAAAGTGATTCTATTCTTTCTGAAGTGATTCAGTACTTTCGGAAGTGATTACAAACTATCTGGAACTATTCAGTACTTTTCGGAGTGATTCCAAACATTTCTGAAGTCATTCATTACTTTCAGGAGTGATTCCGAAATTTTCTGAAGTGATTCAGTACTTTCTGAAATGATTCAGTGCTTTCCGAAGTGATTATGAGCATTCTGAAGCGATTTAGTATTTTCGAAGTGATTCCGAACGTTCCTGAAGTGATTCAGTGCATTCCTAACTGATTAAATTATTTTCGAAGTGATTCCGTTCTTGCGGAAATGACTACAAACTTTCTGGGATGATTCAGTACTTTACAATGTGAATCCGAAATTTTCTGATGTGATTCAATTCAGTACTTTCTGAAGTGACGGTACCAAAAAGGCAGGGGTTTGACATATAGCTGAATACACGTACTCAACATCAAAACAACAAAACATATCAAACTTAAGCGATATGACAGCCATATCCATCCCCTGCAAAAAGGTGGTTGTGAATTTTGTGCTTTGCAGGGCAAATGAAAAAAAAATCGTTTAAGCTGGGTTTAGACAGGGCAAGTCCATTGATCAAGTCAGTTGAATTCAATTGGCTTGAAAAGTTGAGCCTGGTTCAACCTTTTTCAATTCAAGTGAGTTGATGAAGTCAGTTGAATGGTATGGTTTACACGTTTAATTCGCATTAAAGTCAGTTGAATTCAACTGACTTGATCAATTGACTTGCTCTGTCTTAATCAAGCTTTAAAGTGTACACGGTATTCAATTTGAAGCGGTATTTCGTCATCGGGTGTTCTGGTATTGCTAGATCGCTGCTCCTCACTCCATTTTCACTGCAGCCGCTGACGGCATTCTAAGTGCCTTCCTTTCGACACATTTCATCGACATTTTCCACGGTAGTCTAAAAATCTTTTTTTTTGGCTTAAAAAATACTTTGGAATGTCTACTTCGACATAGACTTGACCGCAAGTCCGCAAGTGACATCGTTCCAAAGGCGTGTTCCAACTGCTGCGCGATTATCTCTAAACGATGCTTTCAAAATTGGCGGGCTCTGTATTTTAGAAACGGCTCATTCGATTTAAACGGCGATTGAATTTTTGAGTTAAGTACCTTTTTTCTAGTCTTGTACGTAGCCGATTTTCAAAAGAATCAAAAATGGATTTTTGGTGCAAGCTTTTATCTCCAATTTTAGGGTACAAAAACGGACTGTTTTTTTTTTCAAAACGTCGCCAAATTTTTATTTTTCAACCAAATCAAAAATGGCTACGTACAAGACTGGGTCATCTATCAGAGAATAACCACAAAAAAATTCGTTGTTCCAGCTCCAGTGGGGCGACCGCCAGACGTTCCGCCCCACGATGACTCAGACGGGAGGTCTCCTGGGGAACCTGGTACAGCGGCTACAGGAGGCATCCAATCGCGCCAAAAAAAAAATCTAAATTAAAGAGGACATTTCAATTGACAAAACTATGCATTCCTTTTTTGAATTGATCGTTATTTGCCCTAAAAAAAAAAATAGTGAAAATGACCTATTTTTCATGCCGCCAGAGTGGACTACCACCTTAAGGACGGGCATCTCCCTTCGCACTGCCTCGAACCTTTGACAGTCCAAGACCACATGCTCCGGCGTTTCTTCCACGTTGCCACACTCCGAACAGAGGTGTGACGCTGCGTGTCCGAACCGATGCAGGTACTTCCTGAAGCAGCCGTGGCCAGACAGGAACTGCGTTAGGTGGAATTTGCCGTCTCTTTGTTTTCTGTTCACACAGGTCGAAACAAAATGTGTTACTGTATCACTCCTGTTGCCAATTAGCCAACGACTCCGCTCTCACAACTTACCGTACTCTTTCGGTTTCTCTCCGCCTGTAGCACTCGCTGTCCTCCGCCAGGGTGATGCCGATAGGGATCATTCCGGCGATAACGCATACTGCTTCCGACGAGCAGCTTCTGTACGCACTCACGACTTGCATGGCCATGAGCTGGAACATATTGCTCGATTTCCTTTGGTTCTGCTTTGTTTCCAGCGCTGCAACCCAGGATGGACTTCCATAGCTCAGCATCAACGACGACACACTGGCCAGAAGACTCTTTTTGCTACTGCTGGGTTCAGCGCAGGGTTACTTTCACTCACTTGCTATAAAAAAATGTTTTTCGGAATTATGAAATCATGATATAGTTTAATGCTAATTAGTACTTGCATGTTACAAGAAGAGATCATGAGGTATATGTTTGACACATAAAATCTGTCAAAATTGCTTTCAGTGCGTCACAATCAGCGATTTTACGACTCGTGAGCGCTCACGAATCATAAGATCGCTAATTGTGACGCTCTCAAAGCAAAATTGACAGGTTTTATGAGTCAAACACATACTTTACTACCTCTTCTTGTTACTTACAAGTACAACATAGCATTATTGCGTCTAATGATTGCATAATTCCGAATAATATTTTTTTATAGCAAGTGAGTGGAAGCAACCCTTGGTTCAGCGTTGTTTGTCATGATGCTAGCTATCGCGTTGATGGGCTTCGAAGCCTTCTCACAGGAATATTCGACGTGGCTGTTGAGGTTTACCCGGTCATCGATCATCACTCCCAGGTTATTCAACACACGATTTGAGGTTATGGCGTGTCGATAGCATCGGTCGCCAACACTTCCACGTCTTCCAGCGTCTCGCCTGTTACCGTCAAGACAACGTCGTCGGCCGCAAAGTCAACGATCTCAACTTCTTTGGGCAGCTTCAGCGTTAGCACGCCGTTGTACATCCTGTTCCAGATCGTTGGACTAAGGATGGAGCCTTGTGGAACTCCCGCTGTTATCCTAATCGATCTCTATCCCATGTCTGTCTGACGACTAAAATGAAGCTAATTTCAAAAATGATGCGCTCATGCACTTCCCGTATTAGGGTGATTCTCCCCGGTGCAGCAAACGAAATCTCTACGGTGCTCCCTAGTGATCACTCATACGCTCCGGTGTGTTGGACTGGTGGAGGTGCGAACGTCAGAAACTGTATTTGTTTGCGAAGTGGGAGAAGCGATAGATAGTGAAAACAAAATGTAGATCTCTCGGGTGAGTTTGCTTTTGTCATAGTGCGAGGTGTCTTTTCAACTCATCACCCTGCTTACACTGGGGAGAATGGCATCCCTGGTCTCCGGTCTTTTCTGAAGTTATTAAGTACTTTGTGAAGTGACTCTTAACAATTCTGAAGTAATTCCAAACTGTTATGAACATTTCTAAAGTGATACAATACATTCCTAAGTGAATCAGTAGTCTCCGAAGAGATTGAAAACATTTCTGAAGTGATTCAGCACTTCCGAAGTGAGTCCACATTTTTCTGAAGCGATTTAAAACTTTAGTTAATAAGTTATTTAGTGCTGTCTGAAATGATTCAGTACTTTCCGAAGTCATTCCAAATTGTTATGAAGGGATTCAATTATTTTCTTAACTGATTCAATACTTTTCTAAGTGATTCCGGGCTATTCTCAAGTAATTCAGTATTTTCCGTCAATCTTTTTTATATGATTCCAAACTTCTCTCCACTTCGCCACTAAGTAGCGCCAACTTTTGTCCGCCAATCAGGATTTGCACCATTTGTTGCACAGTTCAGTGGTATTATTTAACTTTTTCAGGAGCGCAGACTATTTCAAATTTCAACCTGAACATGTTTACAAGGTGTACTAGATATTTCTAATGTTCACCCGAACTTGTCTACCAGGGGCGCTATCTATTTCAAATTTTATATTTTTTTAAGATATTCCAGATAAATTTTTTCCAATTTTTCTCCGAACATGGATATTAGGGGCGCTATCCACTTTAAATTGAACGATTTTAATCATTTTCAACATGCTTACCAGGGGCAAAAGTCATTTTAAATATATTATATTATTTTACCGAAATCTGTGAAATTTTACCGAAATCTCAACAGCTGGTGATCGATTTGTTTACCGAACGTTCAGCTGTTGCTATTCCGATAAAATTTCACCGATTTCGGTAACATAGCCTTAGTGTGCAGAACGTTTTTTCATGGGCGCAAAACATTTCAAATTTTACGATTTTGATAATTTTTCTCTGAACTTGTCTACCAGGGGCGCTTGCCATTCCAAATTTACTGATTTTTAAATTTACCTGAACATGTATTTAAGACGCTAGTTATTTCAAATTTAATGTTTTTAAAACTTTTCGTCAACCTTGTTGGGGGCGCAAGTTTTCGATGAGACTGACTTGGGCACAGTGTATTTTTAATATTTAACATTTGCGGTGAGATTTTGCTCTCATTGGATTGCTGTATTTTACTTATTTTGTATACATATTTTTTTCGGTTTGCAGCTAATTAGTCGTCGAATACCCTCGAATATCCACAAACACAGCACTGGATGTAGGTGAATTAATAGACAAAGGCAGACAAACAATTATATTGAGTAATAAGTGGTACCAGCTCGTCTCTCTGTTCTCTCGGTAATCATAGAGAGCGTATGTTGATTACGGCTAAACACAACTAGCATATTTATGCCAATCAAATCTTACATTCAACCTAAATAAAATGGTACAATTAGAATTGAATTTCTTTAATAAATGACCATGTTATAAGCGTTCAAATTTGACACTACTTTGTTAAAAAAAATTGATTTGCTCTCCATTATAGTCCAAAAAGACGCCATGAATGTTGTGGGATAAAACAGTTCCCAAAAGGTACCCCAGATTACCCAAAACAAAACAAAAATCTCCAGAAGAATCGTTGGGTGGGATGACATGGTAACTCGCAGCGAGGAGAGATGTAAAACTGCGGTTTTGAGGAGCATTTACACAAGACCGGACGTGCACTCACACGAATACAAATTGCATTCCGGCCGGAGCAAGTTCTGGTAGGTGTAAATTCTGTCAAAATCGCTTATCGGTATCTTCGGCCGTTTGTTTTCACTGCATTTTTATGGGTGACTGATAAATTGAGCAATTCCTACTGATTGCAATGTTCAAATTCTTCTGATATCAACGGGTCACAGTTACTCCGATGAGCTGGATGTTCGACGGAATTTTAGGTACGTGTTTGGCAAAGATAATCCATGGACCATGGCGGTGGATCTCACGACGGTGAGTGCAGCTTTTCCATGTCCCTGGACCGATTTCCGTCTGCGTCTGGTTGTTTTTCATTGGTGTGAGATGTATGTATTGAACTGCTAGGAATGCTACGATGTCGACGCTATTATAACTATTTCAATATTTAACAATTGGGTTCTTCAAGGGTATTGAGGTAAATGCATATTCATAATCTGCATTAAAAATGGATCCCAAACCCAAAATGTCATCAATTTTGGTACACTGGAACTATTTTAAATAAGTACGATTACATTTGCAAAAATCACCTTATGATGAGATGAAAGTGTGTGGGTTCGAAAAAAATATCGCTGTGCTCAGAAAACGAAGTTCTTGCAGATAACACTAGTTTACAGCATTTTTGAACTCGGTAAGGTGATGATCATTTCCAATGCAAAATCCTACGCTGAATTCAATGCCGTGGTCAGAAAAAATTAAAGTAGAGCCATTTTTGAGATATACAAAAAATTTGATTTTTTGAATTTTGGACAAAAGTACGATTACTAAAATGTCAATATCTTTGGAACTAGTGCACCAATTTTAAATCTTTTTTTTTATGAAAATGAAGCTAAATAATTTGCTATCGTTCATTAGAATATTATGTCTTAATTAAAATTTAATTTTGAAGTCATTTAAAAATTTACAGCATTTTTTTTTTATTTTTCCTGCGAATTTTCCATACTAATCTTGTTTTAATCAACATTTTTAATGGGATAAAAAGATTCAAAAAATCATTCCATAATTTATTCTTAAAGTCCATTCAAAACCGGAGAAAATGAGCCTTTAATGGATGAAATCGGTTGGAAATTGTCGAAGTTATGAGCATTTTTGTAAAACACTTAAAAATGTTGCTGAAATACAACAGCTTTAGAGTTCCTTTTCTAGGTGTCGTTGTAAGCATCCAAATCGCATGTAAAGTTTTCATGGGAGATTCTTTTCTGTACATATCAATTTGATTAAGGCATATCAGGATTTAAAACCGAGTTGATACAAAAGAAATTTATTTAGGTTTTATTAAAAATGATTGAGAATCGAATGACTTTGTCTTCGATGTTTTGAACTTGTTTCTCGAATCAGAAACCAACAATAGTCACCCATCATTGCTTCATCCCAAAACCCTTGGTAACGACGTTCCATCATCTTCATTTGTTGGTGAAAACGTTCGCCGTGCTCATCACTCTCGTCACCAAGATTTTCCGGGAAAAAAATCCATGTGAGAATGTAGGAAATGTATCTTCAAAGACATATTCACACCTGTGTTCAGTGAAATAAAAGGATTTGAAATTAATTATATGTAACAAACACAATATTTTTGATTTATACCTATTTTCTCATAATTTTTGAGCAATTCATCGACGGCTTCCTCATAATCTGGGCTTCTGAAATTTCCTAAAAAGGTTGTGACAACACGCTGGAACGATTTCCACGCTTCTTCCTCATCTGGTGTCAAAACTGTATTGAATGTGGAATTATTGAGCAGTTTTTTGATCTGTGGGCCAACAAATACACCTTCCTTTATCTTTGCGTCAGATAAATTTGGAAATACTGATTTCAAGTACTGGAATGCCGGCCCTTCTTTTTGCAACGCTTTGACGAAATTTTTGAATAGCCCAAGTTTTATATGTAGTGGTGGAAGTATTATGCGTTCTTTTACCACAAGAGGATCATTTTTAACGTTGTCTTTACCAATTGTGAAATTATCCCGTTTTGGCCAATCTTTTCGGACGTAGTGTTCCTTACGAGCTCGACTGTCCCATTTACACAAAAAACACATATATTTTGTGTATCCCTGTTGCAATCCAGTCAACATGGCAACCACTTTAAGATCGGAACAAATTTTCCAATTGTGTTGATTGTAATTTATCAAATTGAGCAATAGAGCCATTGATTCATACGTTTCCTTCATATTAACGGCATGAGCTAATGGAATAGAAGGTTTCTCATTCCCTTGATGCAGTAAAACGGCTTTCAAGCTCTACTTGCTGCTATCGATGAATAAACGCCATTCAGCTGGATCATATGGCTCACCAAACTCTTCAAACAAGCCGTTTACGTCATGGCAAAAACATGCCTTGTCCTTTGTAGAATAATATTTGTCAAATTTCTTGTGACGATTCCTGTGACAAGAAATTTTGACCTCCTTGCTCAGCATGTTGTGTTCTTTCAAGCGTTATGCCAGCAATTCGGATTTCTCCTTCGATAAGTCGAGATCTCGCACCAAATCATTAAATTCGGATTGTGTAAACAGTTTTGGGTTTCTTTCCAATTCCACCTCGAAGTCTTCATCGCATTCCTCCTTGAATTCCTCCTCACTTTTTGTAACGGTCGATTCAACAGAGGGCGCTCGTTTCCGCTTTGGATAAACAGGATACGGGACCGAACTTGAATGTGGAACAGGTTTTGTCATAGACGCCACTTGTGGATACTCAACTGTTTTGTGACGTCCTTGTTGCTTAACTTTTGTCAAGCAGAAATAACAATCCGTTGCATGACAAAACGGTCGACGCCATATGGTGGGCATGTCAAAGGACAAATAGCGACTGACAGATAACAAATAAGTGAGTTAGTAAGTAAGACATTAACACTTATCAAAAATAGATGAAGTAAGATAATGTCGATCAGGAAAGAACAAAGCACTACCATGCTGAACATAAATTGTTTATATGAAAGTTATT